TGATGGCCAGAGCAAAGCCCTGGGGGATTGGGCTCTGAAGTCCCTCCAGCGTCTCCAGCAGATAGCTGAGGTTCTGCAAGAGAACGGCGCAGCAAGAGGAGGCTCAAGCCACCTCAAGCCACTTGCGACGGGAGAAACCCAGCACATCTGGGCTAAGGGGAGTCCCTGTCACCAGCTCCCAGGGAAAACCCCAAACCCTCCTGCACGGGGCTTCGTTGCCCTCCCCTCAGAGCAGCATCGGGACTGGACACAGCCCTGGGCATTCGAGCAAAGCTCTTCCCGCACGCACAGCCCCAGGGAGGTGGCAATGCCAGAAGATGAGCCTCACGGATGTGACGCTTGGCTCCCTCCTGGCCCCCCCCTGCATTGCCCTGCTCTTGCCCCAAGAGCGCACGCAAGCCTCAGGCCTCCTCTGCTCTCCCTGGTCCTTCTCAAAGGCCTTCCCAGGTCCTCTGGGCACTCGCACAGACCCACCCGAGCAGCCACGCTGGGCCCCACACGACTCCTCACCTTGGTGACCTGGGAGGTGTCTCGCACCTCCTGATATTGCTGCAGGAGCCAGAGGAACGGCTCCCAGGCATGGTATCCGTGCCGCTCCCCGTGCAGAAGGGCCACCGTCATGGCAGTCACTGCCCCGAGGACAGCCTGCTTGTCCTGGAGAGGGAAAGGAGAAGCCCTGCTGGGAGAGACAGCCTTTGCCCATGCTGCTGCCCCAGCCCTCCCCGAACAAAGGCCCCAGGACTCTGCTGCTTCCCCCCAGGGAGCCCCCAGACACAGGGCGGCAGGCTCCCGGCTTGGGGGGCTTCCTCGCCCAGACTGCTCCCTCTCCACCCTGCTCGCACCCCGCCGCGCACAGATGGGCCCGCTGACGTGGACATGCCCGCTGCGGCCCCAGGCATGGAAAGCAGCACTTCTCACCTCTTCCTCCTCGCAGTGCAGCAAATTCGCCACAACGTAGCGGAAGACCGGGTAAATGTCTCGGCACAGCCGCGCTTCCCGACTGCGAGGGAAGGGGCACTGCTCCCGGCTGCAGAAGTATGCGGTGACCCCTTTCGACCACTGCTCCACAACTGCACCAGGACAAAGGAGAAGGGAGCACGTGACAGTCTGCAGCAGGGAGGGGACCTCTGTGCAGTGCCGCTGTGTCCTGCCCACCGCAACGTCCCAGGTTCCCCCTGCTCCTTCTACACACTCACAGCGCTTTGGGATCGCCAAGGCCTGACCTCACCGGGGGCTGACGCCCACCACGTTCCCTCGGAGACCGCGCGGAGCCATCAAAGGCCACCCCTGCCCCGGCAACCCCGGCCAAGGAGCTGCTCACCACTACCCTAACACTCACCGCTGCAGAAGGTGCGCAGGATCCGGCCGCTCCCCACCTGGCTCAGCATGGCGCGCAGGGCCAACAGCGTCATTCCCACAAAGGGGATGCACTGCAGGGCTGCGGAGAAGGCAGGGACAGAGGGACCGAGGGTCAGCGAGAGACACGGGAGACTGGGGTCAATCTCTGGCAAGGCTGGGGCTGCCGGGCCATGCCAGAGGGCATGGGGAGGGCTGCATTCCCCAAGGGGGACACAGCAGGGAAGCTCTCTGGGGAAACAGGGAGGACAGTGGGGGGCACAGACCCCACGCGTTTCTCTCCAGTGGGTTCCCACCCTCCAGGAACCGAGCTGCTGGCCGGCCCTGGCATGCAGCGGGGAGGCTTGGCAATTTCATAGCCCCCCAGCCCAACACAGAGCATTTAGGAAGGGGGAGGATCCCTGCTGCCCACTACCGCAGACCCCGACCCAAACCGGGAGGCCAAGGGTGCCGTACCGTAGCTGCGGGACAGTTTGCCTAGGGTGAGGAGCACAAACTCCTCCGGAACCTTCCCCATGGCCTTCAGGTGTCTCTGGAGCTCCGACATGACAAAGTGGAAGTGGGAGCGGGCCAGAGCCACCAGGACATCGCTAGCAGCCGTCTTCATGTCGTCTGTCACACCCTGGAAAAGCACCACAGGTTCAGCACTCCTGAGGAAACGGCTGAGGCACTCGCACAGGCTGAACGCCCCTGTCTCCCGTGCAAGTCCCCTTGCTGCAGTTGTGCTCGGGCCAGGGCGTCCGCTGCCTCTTGTACCCCGGGGCAGGCGAGCAGCACCTCAGGGAGACGAGGGAGACTTCTCCCCGGCACAGCCCTGTGCTGCTGCCTCCTCTCCCTCTCTGCGGAGATGCTGGGAACAAACTGTCGCAGACTCCAGACCCTCCCCCGTGGGGCCTCTCCATGGGGCTGCTGGGTGCCCAAGGTTCTTCATCAAGCCAGGAGGAACAACCTTGAGCTGAACCCAGCTTGGTGGGAATAACCGAGGAACATCTCTGCGCTGCTCTGTATTTCCCCAAAACCCAGGGGCGTAGGCAGGCTGCTTTGGTGGCCTTGGAAGAGAACAAGCTCACCTGGGCTGCCCGCATGTCGCTGGATGCCTCTGCTATCAGGCGGTTCACGATGCCGCCCGGCAAACGGCCATCGTCTCCCTGCAAGACGCTCTCCAGCTCCCGGTATATCTCCACTCGGTCACCCTGAGGACAGACCAAAGGGGAGGGAGCGATGAGACTTGGGACTTGCTTTGTCCTCGTTCCCGGCGAGCCACGAGAGAGACCTGCTGCCCCACAAATCATCTGTGTGCCACGGGCACGAGGGACCAGCTGCAGGCATCGCTCAGGACAGACACAGCCAAGAGCAAGATCTCCTGTGGCACCTCCGACACCAACAGAGAGCCAGGCAGGGAGACCAACTCCACCAGGGTAAGAGGCCATGCAGGAGCCCAGAAAGCCATTCCCGAGGCCGGGGAATGGCGGAGGTCAGAGGGAGAGCCCCAGACACTGCAGGGGAAAGTGTGGGAATGAGACCATGCCCCGAGGAGGGGAAGCCATGAGCACCCTGCACCTTGGGGCCCTGGCGCTGGGACAGTTCCCAAACCAAAGCTAAGGAGGGGCCTTGGGTAAAGGCGCTGCAGAGATGCTGGGGGTTACGCCAGACGCTTTGCCTTGCCCAGGAGAGCGCTGTGAGCTCCCAGGGAAAGGAGGGAGCCAGGGAGCAGTGGCATTTGTCCAGCTTGAGCGGCAGGGACGAAGCGCCTGCGGGAGGGCAGAGGTGCCGTCAGGCGAGATCCCCCTCTGCCGCTGTGCCGGGGAAGCCAGGGGCAGGGAGGGGGGCCCTCAAGCCCCCCGGCCTCACCTCATGGTCTTGCAGATGCTTTAGCAAAGTCCCCACGACCTCCAAGGCAGTGACGGCCACAGGGACAGTCTCCTTCTCCCTGCCTCCATCCTCAGGATGCTCAGGTCTGCACTGGACACAGCAGCACGAGCAGAAGGCTGGAAGAAAAGAAAGAAATGGTTCGCAGGCTGCAGGGCTTCCAAGCAGGGAGGGGTGAGGATCTTCACAGCCTCCCCCAGCACTCACCGCCCGTCCTGTGCTGTGGTGGCAAGAGGACAGTCAGTGGGATGAGGGGAGGGAGCCTTCCCCCCACTGCGGCGCCACTGGGAAGACCACAGTGGGAGACTGGGCCCAGTGCCAGCACAGCAGTGGGGACCCCGAGCTGGGCAGGGGATGGACGTGGGGCCCTGCCCCATGGGAGAGGAACAGGAGGGCTGGGCAGCCCCAGCTGCCCCACGGAGGGCAGGCAGAGGATGGAGCCAGAGCGCTCTCAGAGGTGCCCGGCAGCAGAATGAGAGGTGGCGGGAACGCAGCCCCCAGCACCCACCCGGGACGG